TTAATTGCAAAATTGCGTGTTGAGGTCGTAGAGCTGATGAATCGTTATCGTACATTTAAGAATCCACAAAAATTGTTAGAAAACGAAGAAATGATAGATGAGATCGTTAGACAAGTTGTTAATATATTTCTGTTTAGACTAAAAGTACAAGAACCCATCGCCCATTGGAAATTTTTTGAAAACAAGACAAGCATCAATACTATTATGATGGAAGCATCTTTAGATAATGCTGAGCTTGAAAATGTATTTGTTGATGTTTGTTCATTTCCGGTAATTGGGTCTAATCTTTGTGAAGCTGATGAAGAAAATAAAAATTTGAAAGTAATCTTTCAAGCTCAAATTATTCCCACTAATTACGAATAGTGGAATGTTTCTCTCTTATTATTGTAACATCATTATTTAAATTTAATAAATATCTTGCTCTATGATTTTTTAAATTACAAACTAAATTAAAATTTTCGTTTTTAAAATCAACTTTATGAGTTATATCTTTTAAAAATGTAGCAAGATGTAAATTATACTATGCATATGTGACATTACACAAAGTGACAGTTTAGTTTTGTTAGTCAGCCAATATAGATACTTACATACGTACGCACGCACGTAATTATAATTGGTCTAACACTATCAGAAAAATTCAAACACATGTCCGTTTCGAAGAAAACTCAAAGATTCGCAAAAGAAACTTTCGTGCTTTAGCGTAAAGTTTTCCTAAGTAAATTACTATCTAATCTATTAAGGTCTAATCAAAGTCTAAACACTAACCCTTGATATATCTCCGTGGGAGATGCCTATAATTTTCTTATAGTAAGTTATGGTTTTCTCATTTATTGCTTTTGAAATCGATAATTAAATTTTAAACCGTCAAAAACAAATATCAAATCGAAATTAGAATGATGGTTAATTTTTATTATTTCCTTATTACAGCACTATGATTATTTTGTCACATAAATCACAATACTATAAAGTGTAAATATTATGCGTTATTTTAAATTCTACCTCATTATAGGGATGGTAAAAAACGTTTTAAACAGTTTTTTAACCATTTTTTATTGTTTTAAAACTTTTTTTAAAACATCGAAGTCTGAGATAAAACTTTACTGAAAATGAAAATATTTCTTCTGATTAATTTTAATTGTCAGCAAAGAAATTTTTTTTTAAAAAAAAGCGATGCTATATAATTTCGAATTTATTATATATATTTGATCACTTAATTTTATCAATTATATTTTTAACTGTATAAATTTGCCATCAGCCAAATACAATCTTTTATTTGGTATTAGTTTTACGTTTGTAGTATTGAGAGTCCAAGTTTACAGTAATATTGCCACTATGCAGACCTCATTAAATAAGTTGTTGCGAATGAATTATTTGAAGATTAGAAGAAATACAATGAATAAATAATTTATCCTTCTCATATTAATCCAATCGCATATGTTACTTGAAATAGAACCATGAACTTTCAATAAATATCATATTTCTTGGAAGTTTTGTAATCGATCAAGTGAATCAACAGTCTTCTTCGTAATAATTGCATTTTGACTAGTGATGCTTGACGAAATTGATTTTATTAGTAGACGAAAGTAAACCTGACGAAATGACAAAACTCGTGAGAAATTATTTTGATCTATAATTATTAGTGACGAAATTAATTTTGAATTAGAATATTATTCTAAGGAGTATACTGTCTAAGTTTATAGAAAAATTTCTTGGTGCTTATATGAAATTTTTGGCACAATCGCAAAATGACGAAACTATTCGTCAATTCAAAAATAATTTCGTCAAACGTTGATTAGATTCAGCAATTTTTGTAAAATTTAAACGATTTCTTCTAAAGGTGTATCCACGAACATGAAACATTGCTTTGAAGAATTTTTTTGATTTTATTTTTTTTTTTGAATGTCAGTAATCATAAATACTAAATTACGCAATCAGATCAAATTACGTCATAATGTATTAAACCATTTTTTAACAGATTTAAATCAAACAAACATGATTTTTAAGATCGCGTTTTAAAACATTTACCATCCCTACCTCATTATTAATTGACCCAAGTCATGTACTTTATTAGGGTGTCTCATGCGTATCTAATTACAAACTTGATAGCTGTGCGACGCCATCGCGCAAAACCAGGAACGGAACTTAACTAACTACTCAAGATTTGCTTAAATGCAGGAAAATAATTTTCCTTTTTAAAAATTTAGATCGTATATAAATATAAAGTTTTTATACTTGCCGTATATCTTCAAATATAAGCAACCACATTTTTCGAGTTGAAAATGAAGAGTTTGCTTATATTCAGAAATAATTTTACTAGTAAACATAACCTTTGCCAAATTTTCAGTTTCAAAATCTAGAGGTTGCTTTTATTCGGGGTTGCTTATATTCGGAGATATACGATATTCATTTTAACTTCAGTTCTTCGATTTGATATTTTCCATTAAAATTATTCTAGTCTGCAAATTTTGTACACACTATCTTCCTGCCAATTATAATTAGTTTTTTTCTTTAATAAAAGTTATTAAAAGTTGAAAGTGCTGCATGCCAAGAAATTTTTGATGATGATGCATAATGGACAGCACTATAACATTATTGGTGTCTCAAATCCTCTATCTCAATTTAAAATCTAATCTATCAAGAATGTAATTATTATTGCTAAATTAGATGACAAATGATTTTATTAAAACACAATGAAAAGCATATGGGAATCTGCTCACTATCATTAGAGGCCCAACCTACTATAACTGAAATTTACATCTACAAAGCAAACAATGATATTCAAATTAACTAGCTATAAACCCACTCTTAATATATTAAAACTACTATGCCTAAACAAAACTATCTTATAATCTCTGATCAAATTATAATGTTTTAGCAATTAGAGAACAGCTCATTGAGGAGAGATCCATGTAAATTCAAAGAGAGTCAATTATGTAGTCACTTATAAAGTGATAAAGATACTTCTAAGTTCAACAAATGGGCTTCTGCAACTGCAAAACCCAAATCCTATCTTACAAAGGTCTTTGTATTGCTACTATATCTGTAGTGCCTAATTATCACCAAACGAGGTTCTTACACCACTACTGCAACTGCGGGCCTAATTACTACTAGCAAGGTTCTTATTCTGCTATTTCAGCTGCCAAGCTTGACATTACTTACCATTACCATTTAACCTATTATACCAAGTATCAATCATTGCCTTAGATGCCAAGTCAAAATGAGTGAAAGATGACTTCTCACTACTGAACAATTTTTAATTACACTGATTATCAAAAGCAGTTTCTTTGTCATTTTGTTAATAAGCTCTTCACTTTAATTTTATTATCATTATTTTTTTTTAAAAAAAAAACCTAGAAAATTTGCACATAAGAATATCATATGTATTCCAAATTTTGTGAATTGTCTAAATCTAATTACATATTAATCTAATTACATATTAATCTACATATTGCATAAATCGTATTCTTAATATTATCATAAATATTAACCATAAATGCATCAAAAAAGTAATTCCTAACTGGACATGGCTTTAGACATTCCCTAATTTTAGACACTGTCACAAATCCGGTGATGAAGTTGCATGTGAAAATCAATTCTGCGCTCATGCTCTTACACTATGCCCAGTCAATTGCAAGATTTTATAGAGCATCATCCATATAACCATACACTTCGTGATATTCATCATTCCATTCCTGATACGTAAGTACATAGCGCAGGTGCAGGTACGCACATACTTATTTGTGCAAGAATACAAGAAAAAAGTGAAAATACTCAAAAACTAGTGTTTAAATCGACCTTAGTGCACTAATTAAAAATGTTGAAAATGAAGTTTTGCATATAACAGTAACAATCTATTGCTATAGTCTATAATGTTAATGTTCTAGCCCTAAACTTTTATCTTTACGCACTTAGTTTATTGAGATCCTTTTTTAGTTTGTATTACCGCGCGAGGTGGTATAGCAATAGTGATTATCATTAATCAGATTTTTTTATAATCAGCATTGACATAGTAGTAACGTAATTAGTAAAAATATATAAAATTTATAGCTAATCTACACAAATAAAATTATTATTTTAGTATGCTCTTTAAAGTAACAACATCTTTTTTTTTTTTAATTTATATTGCTTAGAGCCTAACGGAGGACTTAATTCTATGCAAAGTGATCATTTTTAATATTTTTTTAATAAAAATATCAAAAATATAACTTGTATTGTATTTTTGAGATGATGATTGACAAAAATTCAAGGTTACATTTTTGATATTTTTGTTAAAAACAATCATTTTGCATAGAAATTGAGTCTCTAAAAAATATAAATAAATAAAAAAAAACATTGTTATATTAAAGAGCATACTAAAATAAATCTGACAAATATAATTTTATTGGCTTGTTCAAGAATTATTGCAATTTAAATTTTATATATTACTAATTATATTACCACTACACCACCACTAATTATAAATTCAAGTTGACACAAGGTCAATGGATTGAAAAGACAGCAAAACAGTGGCATGTAGCAATCACGTAGCAGACCGATCTGGACAAGATAAAACCCGATTGCAGATAAACCCAATAAGGATGTCTAAGAAGCCTTATCAAGCAAATCAAAACATCAGTGTTGTGTGAATTCAGATGAGTATAATGTAATTAACTGCTTATTTTGGGGTGCAAACATTATTACTACCAACATTGCATTGTTATTCAGATTAGAATATAAAGAAAAGCGCAAAAAATCATCTCATTAACAAATGCAAGAAGCAAACAAGATTTGCAAAAATTAAAAAAAAAGAGTAAACAGAAGACAAAACATAACCATAAGCAGAGTTAAAACACTGTATCTGAAGAGTCAACAGAAACTATAACAGCACTTAGCAGTTCATAGGCAGACATTCGTATGATTGGCTGTTTAAATCAATTTAATTTTACATTATTTATACAGTTTAAAGTACTTT